TTTTATCATTTAAACAATATACTGTGAATATTTTGTTAATAATATCTAAACTATCACTCTTAATAGCTTTAATAGTCTATTATACATATTATACAATGAATGATTCTATTATTCATAATTAATTTAACCAACTTTCTATGTTTAGACATTGAAGCTGTTTCTAAAGTTACTTCTGCATCAAATTATTTTGCAATATGTATCATATAGTGCACCAGTGTGCACTTGTTCAATTATTTCATGAGAAAATATTTTTAAAAGTAGAACTTTCAGGTCAAAAGATATCTAAACATTTCAAGTTTTGGATACTCAACTTTCTTTTCAGAAAATATATAGTAATTTACACTTTTCCTAGCAATATAGGATGGTGTGGCACAATGTTCTCACTTGTAAAAAATTAGAAAATGGGCAACCTCAAATAACTCTTCTGATAAATAGTGATGGATCACTGTTTATACTCTCACAAAGCAGAAGCTATAGAATGAGCCCCAGCGGCATAAAGGTTAAAAGCTAGGCTGCTAAATGAAAGGTTAGTGGTCAAAACTCACCGATTGTTCTGTGGGAGAAAAGATGTGGCAGTCTGCTTCTGTAAAGAAGCCTTATAAACCCTATGGGTCAAAACTGACTTGACAGCAAAGGGTTTGTTTTTTTTCAACCTGTATATAATTTTCTAACATCATTCATTGGCCAACCAGAAAGTACTGATTCACTGAGTTACACCAATCTTTTAGACAGTGACACATTTAATTACAAAGCATTAAAAAAATTATTTAAAATCATCTCTAATTTTATGAAAAAAAACCTAAGCTTTTAGAAGGTGTCAATTTCAAGGTGACAAAAACAAATTTTCCAAAATTCTAATTCTAAATTCTGCTTGAAATCTCTAATTTCATCAATGAAACAAATACCATCAATTGTTTTCTTTGTTTATTTTAAAGAAAATATCTTTGAAATACCCAAGTTGGAATAACTTGTCAGGTGTTCTTTCAAGTAAAAAGTATTTTCTGAAAAGCAGCTAGTTTAGCTTGCAACTCAAAACAATCACACAAATGCTGTTCCACAATATAACCATCATACTTCAGTATACAACAGATATTATTTACTCAAATTCTCATTGCGTAACAATGAAAAAAATGTGAACTTAAGGATCAAGGTTTAATAAAATTAATAATCTTTACTGTTCCTTCAAAGACATTCCTAAGTGAAACTGGCTTCTTCTTTTATTTTCTTTTTAATGTAACTGCATGGCAGTGAAGGAAACAACTACTATGATGTGTGCTAAAGCAACAGCAGTTATACCCATCACTGTTCTCTGGTAGCATAGTGCCTAAGATATTTGACTGCTAACCAAAGGCTGGCAGTTCAAACTTACCAGCCACTCCTCAGAAGTAAGGTTGGGCAATCTACTTCCGTAGTGATACCACCTCAGAAACCCAAGGAGGGGTCACTATGACTTGGGTCCAACTTGACGGCACATAATAACAACAACAAGCTTTTACAAATATTATGGAAAATGTCAACAAAGTGAAAAGAGTGGATAATGTGTATTGTTATGAAAGTTGTTTTGACTTGTGAAAATCAAGTCTCAGGGACCCCCCAATAGCCTGCAGATCCCACAGATCTAAATGCTTCCTATAATAATCTTGCAACTACAGGCTCTAAGTTAACAGATTAGATATCACATTACTAGTGCTTTACTACTTCATGAAACTACATTTTTCTCTTTGAAACTATATGAATTCAGAAAGACTTTTCTCCCAGTGGTCTGAATGTTTTGTTTTACAAGTTGTTCTTCCAGTCAAAAATAAAAACAGTGGAGGCCAGATATCTTGTAGAAGAGCTTTCTCTTCAATATGCCTTCACCTATTAGTTTTACAAGGTCAGTTTTATTAAAAGGATCCTCTAAAAGAGGGTTTCAGCACTGTTTTAATTCCCACAAAGTGGAGATTCTCATTTTCTGAGCCAGACCTATAGTAGGGCAGGGCTTTCTAGCAGGATTAGCAGTGTTCTCTCTCACTTCTGGTCCCTTGAAAGCAGTTATGTTAAAATGGCTTGCTAGAAACCCTCCAGACACATTTATTAATAAGCTTAAAGTACCCTCTGAACTTAAGGGACTGATTTTACCTCAGAACCAAAAATTTCCCTTGAGCTTCTAGAGTTCCAGAAAGATTGGGGGTTGGAGAAAATAAATTACTTTTCAAGGTAACATAACTGAATTCTCAAAGAAATGCAAGTAGAGAAATTTTAGCATGCCTGTGCTTCAGTCCCAAGTGTGAATCATTAAAAAACAATCCCTTAGATGGAAATGGAAATCCTACCAAACCATACTCTACTTGAAAGATAAATCAAGTTTCAGAAAATACATAAATAATAACTACCTTGCCAGTGTGTTATCAGGTAAAAGATACCAATAGAGATAACCCACCACGCGTTTCTCATTTTGTCATACTGTGGTGGTATGCATATTGCCATGATGCTGGAATCTAAGCCACCGGTATTTCAAATACCAGCAGAGTCTTCCATGGTGGACAGGTTACCGTGGAGCATCCAATGACTAAGACAAACAGAAGAAAGATATGTCCAGGTCCACTTCTGAAAAAATTAGCCACTGAAAAGCTTATGAACAGCAGGGAAACAATGTCTGATATAGTGCTGGAAGATGAGCCACTCACGTTGGAAGGCACTCAAAATGTAACTGTGAGAGAGGAGCCTTCTCAAAGTAGAGTTGACCTTAATGATGTGGACACAGTAAAGCTTTCTGGGCCTTTATCTGTTGATGTGGTACCACTCAAAATGAGAAGAAACAGCTGCAAGCACCCAAAAATAATCACGTGGAATGCACAAATCATGAATCTAGGAAAAGTGGAAGATGTCAAAAACAAAATGCAATGCATAAAGATTGATAGACTAAGGCATTAGTGACCTGAAATGGACTTGCACTGGACATTCTGAATGAGACAATCACATGGTCTACTATGCCAGAAATGGACAAATTGAAGAGGAATGGCATTGTATTCATCATCAAAAAGAACATTTCAAGATCTGTCCTGAAAAACAATGCTATAAGTAATAGGATAATATCTACACACCTACAAGGAAGCCCACTTACTACAATTCAAATTTACACACCAGTTATTAAAGCCAAAGATGGAAGAAACTGAAGTTGTTTACCAACTTCTGTAGTCTGAAATTGAACAATCATGCAATCAAGATGGTGACTGGAATGCAAAAGTTGGAAACAAAGAAGAATCACTAGTTGGAGAATATGGATGAAACCAGAGATTGTATGAAAGAATTTGGCAAGACCAAGGACTTATTCATTGCAAATATCTTTTTTCAACAACATAAACAGTAGCTACACATGTGGACTTCACCAGATGGAGCACACATGAATCAATGGACTACATCTGTGGAAAGAGGCAATGAAGAAGCTCAATATCTTCAGCCAAAACCAGGCCAGGAGCTGATTGTGGAACAGACCATCAACTGCCATATGCAAGTTCAAGCTGAAGACAATTAAAAAAAAAGTCCAAAAGAGCCAATATATGACCTTGATTATATCCCTCCTGAATTTAGAGACCACCTAAGAACAGATTTCATACCTTGGACTCCAATGACCAAAAACTAGAGGAACTGTGGATGACATCAAGAGCATCATCCATGAAGAAAGCAAAAGGTCATTAAAAAGACAGGAAAGGAAGAAAAGACCAAAAGAGATGTCAAAACAGACTCTGGAACTTGGCCTTGAATGGAAAGTAGCTAAAGCAAATGGAAGGAACAACAAGATAAAAGAGCTGAACAGAAGATTTCAAAGGGTAGCTCGAGAAGACAAAGTCAATTATTATAATGAAATGTGCTAAGACCTGGAGTTAGAATACTGAAAGGGAAGAACATACTCAGCATTTCTCAAGCTGAAAGAAAAAAGAAAAAATTCAAGCCTCGTGTTAAAATATCTAAAGATTCTATGGGCAAAATGTTGAATGATGCAGGCAACCTCAAAAGAAGATGGAAGAAATCCACAGTCACTGTTCCAAAAAGAACTGGTTGATGTTCATCCATTTCAGGAGGTGGTATATGATCAAGAACGATGGTATTGAAGGAAGAATTGGCAAAAAACAAGGCCCCAGGAATAGACAGTCACACTGAGATGTTTCAACAAATGGCTGCAGCACTGGAGGAGCTAACTATATTATACCAAGAAATATGGAAGACAGCTAACTGGCCAACTCACTGGAAGAGATCCAAAGAAAGGTGACCCAAAAGAATGCAGAAATTATAGAACAATATCATTGATATCACACCCAAGTAAAGTTCTGCTGTAGATAATTCAACAATGGTAGCAGCGGAACATCAATATCGAACTGCCAGAAATTCAAGCTGGATTCAGAAAAGGGAGTGGACTGAGGGATCTCATTGCTGATGTCAGATGGATATTGGCTGAAAGCAAAGAATACTAGAAAGATGTTTACCTGTGTTTTATTGACTATGCAAAGGCATTTGACTGTATGGATTATAACAAATTACGGATAACGTTTTGAAGAATGGGAATTCCAGAGCACTTAACTATGTTCACAAGGAACCAGCACACAGACCAAGAGGCCGTTGTTCAAACAGAACAACAGGATAATGAAAGGTTTAAAATCAGGAAAAGTATGCATCAAGGTTGTATCCCTTCACCATCCTTATTCAATCTGTATGCTGAGCAAATAATCTGCAGCATGAGAATTGGAGGAAGACTCATTAACAACCTGTAATATTCAGATGACACTACCTTACTTGCTGAAAGTGAAGAAGACTTGAAGCACTTACTAATGAAGCTCAAAGACTACAGTCTTCAGTATGGATTATACCTAAACGTAAAGAAAACAAAAATGCTAACAACTAGACTAAAAAGCAACATCACGATAAATGGAGAAAACACTGAAATGTCAAGGATTTCATTTCACTTGGATCTGCAATCAACACCTATGGAAACAGCATTAAAGAAATCAAATGACATACTGCATTGGGCAAATGTGCTGCAAAAGAGCTCTTTAAAGTGTTCAAAAGCAAAGACGCCACTTTGGAGACTAGGGTGCACCTAACCCAAGCCATATTTTCGCTTGCCTTATACGCATGTGAAAGCTGGACAAAGAATTAGGAAGATGGAAGAAGAACTGAGGCCTTTTAATTACAGTGTTGGTGAAGAATACTGAATATACCAGGGACTGCCAGAAGAATGAACAAATCTGTCTTGGAAAAGTACAGCCAGAATGCTCCTGGGAAGTGAGGATGCCAAGACTTCATCTCATGTACTTTGGTTGTCAGAAGGGACCAGTCCCTGGAAGAGGACATCATGGTTGGTAAAGTAAAATGTCCATGAAAAAGGGGATGACTCTGAACAAGACGGATTGACACAGTGGTTGCAACAATGGGTTGCAACAGCACCAACTCTGAGGATGACACAGGACCAGGCAGTGTTTCATTCTGTTGTGTACAATGTCGGTATGAGTTGGAACCAACTCAATAGTACCTAAAACTAATAACAATACAGATAAAAGATCAAATAACACACATATAGTAGACTCTCTGACATGTGTGAATTTGTGGATTTAATATGCGCTTTTTTTATTTCAATCATCCCCCAAAGATCCATAACTTGTCATAATAAATGCCATAACTTTTATAACAAGTGATTTTATGTAAGCCACAAATTTAAATCAAAGAAGAGATGTCCAGGAACAGTCAATTAGCTGAGCAATGAACCCAGACAACCACATGACAACTACATCACAATGCAACTTTGTCTTTCTCCATATTGTCAGACATTTGGTAATAAACACTTCACTTCCTTGGGAAATATGGTCCAGAAAAGGAATCAAACTGCTAATGATGGAGTTAAGAAAAAGTCTAAGAAAGTGCTGAATTGGGTCAGAAAAATAGATTAATTAAAAAGTAAAATGTTAAGGTTAGAGAATGATTCATCATGAACAGAAAAAGAAATTTCTTAAACATTTAAAGAACACCGTAGTCAGTATTAAAAACTATCAGTAACTACAAAGGTGACTAATTTGTGGAACGAGAGGATACACAAAGGAAATCTAAGACTGTTGAGAAGAGTCAGGAGCCTGTACAAAGATTTCTGTAAAGCAACAGCTGGTCAAGGCACCAATCTGTTGCCCTGATCTTTATCATGAGTAAAGGCTGATTTCTGAATTTTAAGAGTAGGTTTCCTTCCCCTGAACTGGTATGGATTATCTGACCATATTTCCCCCCAAGGTAAAGAAGGGACTAGAGGTGTGATAGGCTGGAACAGACTGTGAGCACAGATGAAACCAGTCCATCTGGGAATACAGTTTGTGACTTCACATCCAAAAGGGTACATGTCTCATCATCATTGTTACTACTGCTTTGGTTTTAGAGTTTCAGATGAAAGACTGATTACTGTTACTGCAGTGGTGACAGTATAATCTAGAATAATTCAGTGGCAGAATTTAGTTTAATAGGTTCAGAAGTTAATTTAGTCCTGTATATTATTATAGAGTCGTTAAACAGAAGGATTAACTGAAATACTGAGTTAAACTTTATTGTACATTGGAGGAAATTTGTATGCTTTGGTGATGATGATTTGGAGCATTCAAAAGCTATGGAAATTTATAAGACCTGTCTACTATCTCTTCTTGGGATGCAGAGAAGACAAGTTAAAGCTTTCAAGACCGACCTTTCCCTGTTGACTCGATGTTCTGGTTCCCTAGTGCTACTATGACAAGAAATACCATAAATGGGATGGCTTGAACAACAGGAGTTTATTCTTATAATTTGGAGGCTTTAAGTCCAAGTTCAAAGTGCCAGGCTCGAGGGGCTGGGTGAAAGCCCCTCAGCCTTGGGCTTCTACTCTGCCTCCAGCTCCCGTCCCACTGAAGCTAGAGGCATTTCTTCACTCAGCCAGCTGCTGGCTGCTGAGGCTGAGAAGCCCAAGGTTGACAAATAAAATGGCACGGTCCCGACATTACCAGACCACACGGCAGGCTCAACCATAATATGTGGAACTTGCCTGAGGAAATTATCTTTTTGAAAAAAAAAAAAAAAAAACTTTTTCTCAGACTAAACTGCAATTCTTTGAACTGGTGCCAAGCAATAAGAAAAAGACATCACAAGAGTAATTGGGGGGGAGAGGGTAGGGAGGAACTTCCATGACAATCTAGGGGTGTACCTATAAAAAGCACAAATAGTTTTGCAAGTTTCTTGGATTGCAAATAATCTGTCTAGCACCTAAAAAAAAAAAAAAACAAAAAATCAAACATCTGAGACAGTAAGTCAACTACAGTGTTTAATAAATTTACCCAATCTTGGCACACTAGTAGCAAGGAATACATATGTATAACATGCTTGGATAAAAGTTGAGAAAACAGAGCCCTTCCCTAAAGCTCTCTCTATAACTAGGGGAAATAGCACACTTCTATATCAAGCTGCCAAAATGGGACAAGCAAAATTGTAAATATATGTCAAAAATTCTGAAGTAGAGGGGGAAAAAAAACCTCTTAGAATATCTCTAGGCCTTATCTCCTTGCAGCACAGTTTTCTCTATTCAAAACGTCAACTAGTAACTGCAGGCACACTTCTACAAAGATACAGTGACTTCTGCCTAGAGGTGAGGATGTATAAGGTTATTTGTCATCCTGCTTCTAGGGACATTCTGATTCAATGGAAAGATGCCTTTGGGGTTCATTTTACTTGGACTTCCTTGTTCTACCCTTTTGAGAAATGCTATTCTTAAGAGAAGACAGCCAAGAAAAGCAGGAGAGAAAGAGGCTGGAAAATGCCCAGTACACATATGGAGAAATACAATATAGACTGGCCTAGTGCTGGGAAAGGAGGTGCAGGGATGCCCTCATCCTTCCTGGCACATGAATATGACTGAAAACATGTCTCAGTGCAAGAGAACAAAATTGGCCTTCACACAAGCTTTCTCTCAGTTGTTGCTTTTCCTTCTGACACTGTGAAAGAAATAGCTATTGCAATTTGCTTTTGGCCTTCCAGGCTAAAGGAAACACATTTGTGGTTATCATGAAGACAGGCATAAAAAGTCCCCAGGGTAGCTACTAAAAATGATATATATACTCTGTGACCTAATCACATCCAACTAACAATAATGTGAAATGGTCCTATTTGTGTTTGAGGCTCCAGTGGGCAAGATCATATAGAAGATCATACAGAAGCAGCAGCACTGCTCGCAGGGCCTGCAACGTGGGAGGAACCAAAGCAATATATTCAGACTTACTATTTCATTCTTTTGGCATCCTAATTATCAAGAGTAAGAAACATGAAATGCAATCTTCAGCTTTCTATTAATGTATTTTTAATTTGATTTCTTAGTGAATAAATGCTGTAAAAGAATTCCCGTGCTAATCATCTAATGAATTAATGAACTTTTCTTTATAACAAATGATAGTTCAAAGTACCTGTAAGTGTGGCCATGATGCCTCAAGGGTAGGTTCATCTTCTTCTGGATCAAATTCGTTGCTGTCACTAGGAGGGAGAGTTCTGAATATATTGCAAGATACCTAAAAATAAACAAGCAGCAGTGTTAGCTGGAAACACCTTCTGGTCCTTGTAAAAGGTCTTTGCAGCCTGCTGAAGGGAACCCAGATAGCAATGCACAGGGAATACCACCAACTGGAACTGGGGCCTCTTTCTATAGGACCTGGGGCCTGAAGCACATCTGGGCAAAGTTGGAGATCAAAAAGTAGAACCTTTCTACCTCCTTCACCAGTACTCCTTCTCCTTACCTGGCCACCACCATTCCAGGTCCCAGTGACATTATACTCTCCATCAAAGCCTGCTCCTCGTTACTTACCAGTCAAGTATCCTTCTAATTAACCAATTTACACTAAGATATAAATAACTACTAATGGTTCAAGTACTTCCCCTCTCAGACTTACTCACAATTTACAAATTAACTATTAAACTAATGGTGAAATTTCAGGCATTCACAAAAAGTGAATCAGAAGATATTTTAGAAGCTTTCTAACATCCTTAAAATCGTAATTAGTCTGTCCTTGGTTGGTTTATAAAATAGTAACAACGCCAGCATAATATACATTGGTGGTACAAATTTCCATAAGCTAGACAGTCTATTTTCACAGACAATTTTCAAATAACAACTCAAATGTATCTTCAGATTCAAAGAATAAAGAAGGATAAAAGGGAATATGTTAGAAGGCAATAAGAAAAGGACAAAAGGGGAGACTGCACCAAGAAGCCTTTGCAAGACTTTCTATATAATACAGAAAATATGCTGCTCTGACAGGAGAAGGAGAGGGTCTTTTTTTGGGGGGGGGGGGGCGGTGCATATTTTTTAATGTGTTTATTCATTCAGTAAAATATTTATTAAATGCCCATTATGTGCATGCACTGTTCTTGGCACTGGGAAAACAATAGTGAACAAGGCAGAAAAAAAAATCCCTTCCCTCATGGAGTTTACATTCTAGTTAGTCACTATTCTCCTCATTTCTAAACTACAGAAACTGAACCCAGAATCATACAACTGGTAAGCAAAAGAGCCTGTATGAGCCTACACAGTCAGACTCACAATTACTGTGCCAAACTTGTCCAGATCTCAGAAATACTCCTCAACTCTGAATGACTACAGAAGTCTTCTGTTGAGCCTCACAGGTTCTAGGAGCTCTGGTAGTGTAGTGCCTAAGGCACCTGACTGCTAACCAGAAGGCTGGCAGTTCAAACCCACTCCCTGGAAGGAAGGTTGGGCAATCTACTTCCGTAGTGACACCACCTCAGAAACCCAAGGAGGGGTTTCTATGAGTTGTGTCTGACTCACCAGCAAATAACAACAACAACTCAGGTTCTAGTTCTGTCCCTTTCTAGTCATTCTCCACATGTCCTCAGCCAGTATGGTCTCTAAAAGGTAAATCTGAACATGTAACACATGGGTATATACCTGAACTCCCAGTGCAGACCACATGAGTTTTCTGCCACAGTTACCTTGAATGCTTTGTTAAGAGCATACCTCAAGACCCAAAACAGGCAGTCTGATCCTGTATCTGCTTGGTGGCACCCTTGGTAATCTGCATTTGCAGTGAGCACCTCAGAGAACAGATATCATTGGTCCTCAACCACAGTTGGAGAAACACTGGCCACAGGATCATGTCCAGCTCCCAAAAACATAGCCCAAATGGTGTGGCCACGCCCATCTCTTCAGTCTTTTTTCCGACCCCGCCCTCTCCTCTTCAAACTTCCCGGCTCTCCCTCTAACGGCTCTCCCTCTAACGGTGTTTCTTGTTCCCAGAACTTGCCATGGTTCACTCCTCCATGCCTGTGCATACTCTGCTCCCACATCTACCCCAGAATCTACTTACCTTCCCAAGTTTGGCTCAAAGGTCCTCTTTATGGAATCTTACCAGCTATTGTTTTATGCTCCCATTATACCCAGAAGTCTTTTTTGTCATAGCATGTAAGCTCCCTGAAGGCCATACCTTTAACATTTATAATTGTATCCTTAGTACCCACCCAGATGGTTCATTCATTCATTCAACATGTACTAGGCATTTCAACATGCTAGGCACTAACGATATAATGTTAAAAAAAAAAATCAGGTCAGGACCTACTCTCATGAGGCTCACATTCTAATGTAGAAAAAGAAATAGTAAACAGGCAAATAAGCAAGACTATTTCACACTAGGATATACGCTATAAAGAAATAAACTGAAGATGTGTGAAGAGTAAACTTGGTGGCAGAGAAAAGGATAACTGGATACAATGGACAGAATGTTCTCCCTAAGGAGATGATCTGAGCTGATAAAAAAAACAGCCATTCAAAGTAGCAAAATCTCAGGGAGAGGCGACTACAATAAAGGTACCAAGACAGCAACCACCCTGGTGAAAAAAAAAAATGGACACCAGAGTGGCTAAAAAAGTGGGGAGACAGGAGGGTGATGATTTGTAAGCTGTTGAAAGGAGATTCAAATGATTTTAAATGCAATGCGGAACCATTAATGGATCTTAAACAGGAAGATGCATGATCTGATGTGTGTGTGTGTGTGTGTGTGTGTAATCACTCTAGTAGCTATGTATAGAACAGACAGGAAGGGGACAATTTAGAAGACTGTGAAAGTGGCAAGAGATGATGTTGGCTTGGACAGGATGGTGATAGAGAAGACAAGACAGAAATAGATTGATTCAAAATGCACTGAAGAGGCAGTACTTGCTGCTAGATGGATGAGGCAAAGAAAAGAAAAGAACCAAAGGGTGAACCATAAGTTTGGGGCCACTTACCCAAGATAGAGGAAACTGGGGAAAAGGTTTCTTGTTTCTGTTTTGGTGGGGAGATTTAGAGATCCATTTTAATATATGTTAAAGGAGCAATCTCAAAAAGGCAATTAGACATATGAATCTGGAAATTAGGCCTGGACTGCTCAGGAATGGAAACCTATCAGAATATAGGTGATACTTAAAGCCATGGGACAAATGGACCACCTTGGGAGCACACAGAGAGAAGAGAAAGGACCACTGGGGACCCACCGTTTAGAAATCAAGTAGGGGAAGAAGAACCAAGGGCTAAGAAAAGAAAGTGAAAAGGAGCAAGACATAGGAAGAAAAGAAAACCACAGAGGCTGAGGGTCCCAGGAGCTAAGAGAGAAGAGTGTTTTGAGAAAGAAGAAGAGAATAGTGGCAAATGCTGCTCACAGACTGACTAAAATGAGCACAAAACAGTATCTACTGGATTTGGCAACATGAAGGTCTTCAGAGATCTAACAAGAACAGGAGAAAGGGAGAGAAGAGCCAGACAGTGGGATAAACAGGAAATGAGAAATGAGATATTACAGAGAATAAGCAAGTATAGACATCTTAGAGAGAATAGCAAGGCATATAAAGTGCCATTCAAATAGCCAAACCTTTCACCCAGTCTGGCACATGGTAGCTGCTTAATAAAAATGTCATCAATGAGTGAACAGTCTGTTGAGCCTATCCCTAAGAATCTACCCTAAGAAACTAATTCGAGACAAAACGAAAAAAAGCTACATAAAACTTTTATTTGGAAAATTGTCCAAAAAGCATAAAATTGGAAATAACCTTTGGGCCCAACCACTGAGAAATTTAACCACTCTGGAGTATTTTGCAGCATTAAAGATGATAGCTATGTGGAAGCTTAAAAAACATTTATAAAGAAAGACTTAATTAGAAAAGGTAACTGAAAATTGTGTGGCTATACCTATAAAGATAACAATATACCTGAGTAACTAAATGGAAATAAGAAAAGCTGCATTACAGTGAGAGAAACATGGATGACTATTTTTTAAGGTGCTAAAGAATTAAACTGAACTAGGTAGTTACTAGGAGCTCTGGTAGCATAGTGCCTAAGGCACTTGACTGCTAACCAGAAGGCTGGTGGTTCAAATCCACCAGTCACTCCTCGGAAGGAAGGTTGGGCAATCTACTTCCGTAGTGATACTGCCTCGGAAACCCAAGGAGGGGTCGCTATGAGTCAGGTCCGACTTGACGGCACATAACAACAACAAACAACAAGGTAGTTACTATTCTTTTTGAAACACACAAAATAAATTCTAACTTTACAAAAAGTTTAAGTTAGAGGCATGAGTATGTGAGTTAGGACTTTAATTTCAAGATGAAAATGGGGTTTCAAAGTTTGTTTTGAACAAGACTACTGCTGTCAGAAGAGAATTAAAAAACAGAGGCTCATATAACACCTTAAAGCCCACCTCACGAGTGAAGGATTGAGAGATTGAATAAACGGACCATAGCTTAACTCAGGGCTTTGAACCGGTTCAAAACAGTTCACTCACGGCCCAGCGAAATAAAGGCAGCAGCACAGTAAGCAAGTTTCTTGTGCCTCAGATTTTTTTTACCTGAGTAGGAAACAGCAGTGTCCTGTTCAAAGATGGTGGCTGATCATGCCACTCTGAATGTGTGTTGACGACCATCTTTGAGTGGGGCACCATGGTCAGTTTCCCACTCAGGTCAGAATCTACTATGCAAGAGATTTGATTGCTATACAATGTGTATACTGCCCTTATGAACCATTTTGAAACAGTTCAAAGCTCTGGTTTAATTGCACAATTGAGCTCCAAAATCATGGATTTAAAACCAGGTCATCCATGGTTAACCACTGACTTACATGCAACATTTTGTTTGTGTAATTTCAGTCATCTTATCAGATTCTCAAGACTTCTAAGATTTAAAAATGGTTAAAGACCCACTGTACTAAGTGGTAAATTTCTTCCATTAAGCATTCCTTTACCACTGGCAGCCACTTTTGATTTGTAGCCCAAGGTTACAATGGACTATTAAACAGGTAACGGCAGTCACATGTTTACACAGACGTATTAAGGCTATGAGGAACCACCAGCATCATTCCTCATCATATAGCAGTTCTGTAATGTTTACATGGCCAGCATAAAATCCATTCAATTATTTCTAAAGTCACAACTATAATTAATATATTTTAAAAATCTAGCCCTAAACCTTCTATTCTTTTCAGTCAAAAATGGATTATCAAAAATGAGCAAAAGATGATGTTAAAGTACAT